GGCGGATAGTATTGAATGATTTTACTTTATGCTTTAATTAAATTATACAATGAGAATCGAAAAAAGAAGGTCTATGGAAAGAAATAATTTTAAATTATTGGAGGTAATTTAATCAATATTTGTTTTATAGCACAATATTTGTTTTATAGCAAGGATGAAAATGGAGTACAATAAGGAACATGGAAGTATACTTATGAGGATTAAGAGATGTATTTGAATAGTATAATAAATAGTGAGGAGGAGAATATAATTTGTAAGGATTGAGATCGAAAAATTGATGGATTTACGGAAGGATTTTTGGCATTTGTCACAAGTAACCTATTAGGGAAACATTGTATATGGGAATTATTAATATGAGAAGATGTAAAAATATTTTGTAATGGTCTTATGGAAAAGGTGATAGAAAATAAGATTGACATATGGGTTGAGTTGTCAAATGATTCATCACAAACACTTTAAATTAGGGAATTTAAAATGGTAAAAAAGTAATTCGATGGAATATTATTAATATTTATGGAGAAAATAATGGGATGTAAAGTTATTTTTAATTTCAATTTGTTTAGTGGTGGTGGAACATTTGACTATGGAGATAGTGAGATTATGATCGGACTTTGGATTGAGCCATCAAATGGGTTCTTTGATTAATCTTAAAATAACTTAAAAGGGTGAATACAAAAATGGTAAAAAGGTTGATCGTTGGAATATTTGTCAATACTGAATGTGGAAACTATAAAATTATGCAAATATTAGGTACTTAAAGATCTTGGTGGTGGTGGGTCATATGAGCAAAAAGGGGTTAAAATTGGCGAATGAATTGAGTTGTCAGATGGATTTTATGATTATTAATAATTAACCTAGATGGGTCAATATCAAAATGAAATCAAAGTTGGTTGCTGTAAGAATAAAAGATGTAAAACTATGATATAATTAAATTTATTTTAGAGGTGTTGGATAGTATAATGAAGGAGGCTAGAAGATTGGTATATGAATTGAATAGAGCGAAGGATTTAAATATGATTCATAAATAGCTTTTAATGGTGAATCTAAAAATGGCTATAGAGTTGGTAGATGGAATATTTTAACAGAAAATAAATAAATGTAATCAATATTGTTTACGGGTGATGAATCATATAATGATCAATTTAATGGAATCAAGATTGGCAACTAGATTGATTTGGATGAAGAGTTTTAGGGTGTTAAATAATTAATTTTTAATGGAGAATATAAAAATGGATTAAAATTGGGAAAATGAGAAATATATAACATTTATTATAATTTTAAACGCTGGGAAATAAATTATCACATATGGATAGTCAGAGAATAATTAAATATTATTTGAAAATAATATATAAGATTTCCCAAAAGCAAATTAAACTGTTAATTTTTTATATTCACTTTCAATCAACTGATGCTATTTTAATCGTCAGATATATAACTAATTAACCTTAGAAATGGTTAAAAAAATGAGATTTTTCTTATGTTAAAAAACTGGTCAAAATTTGCTGATTAAAATATTTGTTAAGGTTTTACATTAATAAATCTATAAGAGGCGGAAAATCATTGAAAAAAATCGCAATTGTTGAGTTTGATTATTTGCCAAAGGAACTATTTGATAGTGATAGATCTGCATATCTGATCTGCTTATAGATGATGATTTTAAATATTATCTTATTTATAATAATAATGCCTTTTATTTTAGTAACTTCTACAGTAATGAGTTGTCACTTAAAACAGATAGGATGATTAATACCTATATATTTATAACTCAAAAGAAAATCTATAAGTTTAGTCCATTATTAGTAGAGAAATTTATTCTGAATGGGAAAGTAATGTAATATATTCATAGTAAAGGCTCAAGGGTGTTAAGTGATAATAAATGTATAGCAGATAAAAATAATCAACATATTCAAGTAACGTTTAAAGTGATGTTGTATAAGATCAGTAGTTAGCATTCCTTATAAGCTAGATCCTATAGTAAAACCTATATAGAGAACTTAGTTAGCTTTAACTCAAACAACAGTAGTCTAAACTGCTTTGCCAATTATTCCAACTAATATTTCTACTCAACAAGAATTTACTGATGCTGAAAATTTACACAAATTGGTGCTACATCATTTTAAATTTCCATTAATTAGATCTTTATAATAATACCTAGTTCAACTAGCATTACTGATGATCAAAACTTTCTGTTCTTGTTAGTGTATACCTAGTGCCTGTATTACATATAAATATTCCTAATACAGCTCCATATCAGCCATAAACAAGATCCCATTTATGTAAGGATATTACTGATATTGTTAATGAGAAAAGGAAACTTTCTTTAAGAGGCATATTCATAGGGCGATCTATTGATTAGGCATTCATCTCTACTCCTTAGTAAAAATTCATTACTTCAAAGAAACAACAAATTTGAAGAACTTAAAAAGCTATAATTAAATTTTACACTAAAAAATAGTATTAAATTGATGGATAAAATTGCAAAGAAAAATGAGGAATAAGAATACTTAGAAAAGAGAACATTAATTTACAATAAATAATAATGAAAGGAATTAGAAATGAAATCAGTTAGATATAAAGTTAGAATAATTGAAATAATAACTGATTTTACATAAGACAAAAAAAATTTAACAAATCTCAAAAAATTAGGACTCTTAAGGTATAGAGTTGAGAAATGCTAAAATTGATGATATTTATATATAAAAATATTGAATTATAAAAGATAATAAAGTTTGGTTTCCAAATATTTACTTGGGTATTCTTTGATAACATCTCCAATTCTGTATGCAACAGTATGAGCATTGTAAACACAAGTTGGTATTTTCACTAGTTCACACCAATTTCTGTAATTGTAACATTAATAATATGTAAATTTCCAAAATAATTCTTCAGTCCAATTTGTAGTATTTTCTGAATCTGTATAATGAGTAGGTGTTGGTGTTCATTCATTGACTTATTAAGCAATCATGAAATAATCAAAATTAGAAGATTCA